GACTTGGAGATACTGTGGTGGGTGTAACAGAGACTGCCCTCAAGGACAGTGCGGTATAGATGGGGGGAGCAATAACAAACCAGCTTACTCAATTCTCTTATAGGTAAAAGCTATGCAAACAAAAGGTGAAGAATAACTAAGGTGTCCTCCATCAGTGTTAAGCATGGAAACTAAGGCACATGGGGCTACAAGTGCCTATGGCCCTGAGTTACTCAGGTAGAGAGAGAGGGAGTCCTGACTCCCAGTCCAGCTCTTTTTCTATTGCCTCACAGAGTATGAAGACCTTGGCTAAAACAAGCCATGTTTTTTTTGTGTGTGTGACCCTTATATTCAGTGCCATTTCATTAATCTTGAGGGTTAGTTAAAACTTACCCTTTTATTGAAGAGCTCTTAAATCACCTGCAGGTGGGTGAGATGCTGCAGGAATTGTGAGAGACCCACAGGAATTAAGACAAAGGGAGCAGTGGATTTCTCTGCCCTAAGTCATACCCCTGGTGTGTGCATTCCTCGAATAGGGGTGGTGTTGGAAGCACCTCATTTGACTGTTGCACTCCCTTCTTCCCCTTGGCTTCTTTGTTAGCAGATGTATTGGTCAAATATACATCTGATGTCATTCTACTGTACTTGTGTTACCTGTCTTGGAGTGTCAATAGATAGTTGTGGGAATGATACACTGAGCTGTTGGGGCAGTTAAGCGGAATATTTGGGTCATTGGTAATACTGCCTTTTGGAACTTGTTATAGTGGGGCCATGGAGAGTTTCAGGGAGAAAAAATGAGTTTCTGCTATTTCCTTTAGCTTTAGGATTGCCCCTGAATTAAACTTTCCAGAAGAATATGAAAATTATTGAATATGTGAATATGAGTTCAAATTTACCTTAGCATTAGCAGTAAAGGTAAATTTATTATCGATTTAAAATTTCCATTTAGTCATCTGAAGACCTTAAGGAGGAGGATCCTTTATAAATTTATTTCTCAGAGGGAACCATTGAGGAAGTTCCTTCATTTCTTCGCCGTCCTAATATCAGTAGGCATTTGGGCATTGCAAGATATCTACCACTGTCTAGAGATGATGGGCTTGAAAACAAATGGACATCTGTTCATGGTTTTATGGATGGCAGAGCACCTTCACTCATTATCTCACTAAATCCTTATGGCAACTTTGTTGTAGAGGGACTCTACCCCATTCCCTCCCTTTGAAATTCAGCCTCCAATTCACTGTCTTGTGCGGGTGTAATGTAAATATGATATTCCCATGGAAAATAGGCACTTTCTCTGGAGGAATGACTCCTAGATTCAAATTTTGTTGAGTAATGGTTTAGTCAACTTACTTGGGTCCCTGAACCTCAGAAGGTAATGATTTTTCTATATTGGAATTGAATTTAACTTACTGTCTCCATTTTATAAACTAAAACCTGAGCTTCTGAAAGATGAACTAATTTAGTCCAGGCTTGTGTCTAGAGGGTGAGCCAGGTTTGGAACTCACATCAGTTTGAGTCTTAATACCACATCCTCCTCCTCTGACCCCAAATCTGTGTTCTTCTTCATTTACTGAATTGAGTGAGAGTTGACTCCCTTGCTCAAGGGATGTGTGAGGAGGTGAGGACATTAGCCCTGTAGCACACACATTCGATGCCTAATTCACTTGATTAAATCTTACTGTTGGTAATAAACAGTACCTGTTGCTGTACATTCAGAAGTCAGGCAGATTATGGTGGTAGTTAACCTATTCCAGACATTTTTAGGATATTCCAAATGTGTGGCTGATACTCTCAAAGCCATCTGATACAAGGGCAGTCTCCAGGATGAAGGGTATCTTGAGCTGGGCTGGAGGGACCTGTGGGATGGAATGCCAGAATGGTTATTTTGGTATCCAGGGCGGGGAGCTTTTCAAAATCAGCCAGCCCCAGTCTTGTGATTGGAAACTCTCTGCCCATACAGGGCCTCATCTTACAATTGGGTTGTAAAACTGAGGCCCCATATAACTCTGTGGATTATGTATCTGGTACCTTCTGGGGCTGTGTCCTGGCCCTTGTCCGGAGCAGGTAATTTCATCCTGTTGAGCTCCAGTTGACCAAATTGCAAGAGCCTGGACCCAGAGTTCTTTCCTTTTTGCAGTAAATGAATAAAATCATGAGAGCATTTAGAACAGTTACGGTACTTACTAAAACTGATGGAGTCATTAGTGCTAGCATATTGCATTCCCCAACCAAGGACTTGTGATTGTTAGCTATGAAGGACTTGAAGGGGTTGTCTGCAGAACTCTACTGCCTGTCTTAAAAGGCAGTCCATCTAGCAGGAAAATTATCCTTATAGTGAACCTTCTTTGGAACTAATGAATCTTCTTTGGAACTTGCACAGAGTGGGTCTATCCTCTCCCCATGTGACAGACAGCACTTCCAAGGCTATTCATTGTCTAAGGACACTAAAGTTAGCAATTGTGATTCAGAAAGATCTTACCAGCATTGAGCCATGGGCTAAGTTTAATTGAAATAAACATAAACGCCTGCTTTTGGTTCCTAAACCAATTGCACAAAAGAGGGAATTCAGGAACAGCACTTGGAGTGTGGGGCTTAGAGGTATTATGGGTCATAGGTCCACCTCTGTCACTGATTGAGGTTGTGAACAACTTGGGGTGTGTTCTTGAGGGCTGGGCAGAAGAGTAAGTGAATTATGTCTAGTCTGGAGCATAATCAGGAGCCTGGGTGCTGTTCCTGTCATAGCTAAATGGGTGTTTTGGAGGAGATTTGCCCCTGCAAGGGATGGTTAGACCCTTAAGGAATGGATAGAAGTCAACCGGAGCTTGGTTATTAGCCTATTAGATGGAGGAACCTCAACATATCAGTACAAAGGAGGTAATACTGGGGAAGTAGTGGTTTCCTGTCATTGGTTATGTTCAAGGTAGACTGTATGACCAACTGATGGGAAGTGTTAGAGGGGACTTAAAGCATTGGAGTAGGGAAGGGGGTGTTAGTGTGTTCTGGTCTGGAGACTTTAGGGTCTCGGTTACACGGTAATACTTTTTTTAGGCAAATAAAGGTCTCCCATTTTGTTCAGCTGGCCTTTACTTCCTGGACTCCATCTCTCTACCATAATGGTTGCGTGCTGGGCACATCCACTGTTCATCTTAAAATGTGGCTCCCTGGTGTGAATTCATACTGCTGTGAGCTGCTCAGAGCTCAGGAAGTGCCCTGTGTCCTTATATATGTCTGTTGTTCTGTTTGTCTTGTTTTGGGTGAGGTGGAGATGGGAAGGGGGACTAGCCACTGCTCAAAGCATTCACTCATATTCTCATAATTTTTCTAATAAACTTCTTTGGAGCTAGAACAGATTCTTGGGTAGACTGCACTTCAGCTTGAATTTTGTAAGACTCCTAGATCCCAACCAAAAAAATATGATAACTTGAGGATTCAAAAGGCCCACACTGCAGGCATCGAAGAGTTCATCTGAGGGTCAATCACAAAACCCTTTCTTGTGGCATAATTTCTTCCTCAACATTTGGCAGTTTTTAAAGTCCTGTCTTCATATACACGTGTTGGTAAGAAGTAGTAAATATTTTGCTGACAAGTTCCTTGAGTGATGGATCAGTGGCAGCATTTAAAAGCAGACAACCTGAGGGTTTTTTTTTTTAAATCCAGGTGCTGCCAAATCTAAAAAGCTGTCAGGGTACGAAGCCAAAAGCACCCACTAATTTACACCATTAATTGTGTCATGTTCCTGTGCCTCCGAGTTCCTGCACCTGGGATCTGTTGATACACATGGGTGAGGGAGGGCAGGGGAAAAGGGTACAGTTGGGAAAGACAAGGAAAGGAGACAGGTTGCTTGCTCTCCTGGAACACAGAGCAGTCCCTGGTGCCTCTGGGACTGCCAGCATCTGCTTCCCTCCTGGCCGCCTCTGTTGTTGCATGGACCTGAGGCAGGGAAGGGGGTAGAGTGGTGGGAACCCTAAGCTCTCCCTACTCAGGCCTTTGCCTCCTGTCTTGGATCTTCTCCCCCTTTTGGGGAAGCTTTTGAATTAATGACCTGATGCCTTTTCAACAAAGGAATATTGGTATGTTAGTGTTACAGACAGCAGGGGGTACTGGATTAGATCATTTTCCCGTTGGTGTTTGTGCCAGTTTGACATTTGTTTGGAGGGCTTATCCCTTTTCACCATAGGTTACATGCATTATTTAAGGGGTATAAATCTTTGAGAAAGGCATTTTTTGGTTCTGTAATCTTCAGTGCTGCAGAAAAAGGAATGAGAAACTCCCCACAGTTTTCCATGGGATCAGGAATTCCAAGTTGGCTGCCAGGGGAAGGTGCCCCTCCCAGGGGTAAAACATAACTGCAGATGATCTGACCACTTGTATTAGTTGTTGCAGGGAAGGCAGGAATGGGGACAAGCTTGTCCCCTCGTCAGGGTTACAGTATAGAAGCTGAGCGTGTTAGAGTGAGCTGACTGTATAGGGCAGACATCCTGTGTAGAAACGCTGTAGAGCCGCAGATACAGCTCAGCTGGCCTGCCTGGCTGTTTCACCAGAATGAGTATTTGTGGTAACAGTCTTCTGCCACCATCTTGTATCTCAGTGATCTCAGTGACAAATACTGGGATGGCTTGCCAATTTAGAGTTTTGCCAATTGCCACAGTGACATAGACATCCTTTTCTTTACTGTATTTTCTTTTTAACAACTTGTTCTGCTATGGAGATCTGATTATCATTGAACAAAGTGCTCCTGGTAGACAGTAGGCACTTAGTAAATGGTTTTGCATGATCCACTGTGAACTTAATTGCCTTTCATCTGTGAAGATTATCTGCTCTCTACCTGCTGTTGCACATCTGTATGAGTGCTTAACATGATAAATAAGGAACAAAAAGCCACTTAGATCTCAAAATTCCATATTCTCAACTAGGAATTATTCTCCAAGCAAAGCTGGGGCCTGAAGAATGTGCAGTAGAACTAGTAAGGGCAGTGTGTTGGTGGTTATCCTTATCACACTATCATTTGATTTCTCTCTTAGGTTTATTTTCTTGAAAACGCTCCAGGCTTCGGCTTGGAAAACCCAACCGCCAAAATTGAGCCCAGCAGCTGGAGCGGCAGTGAGAGCCCTGCCGAGAACATGGAGAGAATGAGTGACTCTGCGGATAAGCCGATGGACAACGATGCGGAGGGAGTCTGGAGCCCTGACATTGAGCAGAGCTTTCAGGAAGCCTTGGCTATCTATCCACCATGTGGGAGGAGGAAAATCATCTTATCAGACGAAGGCAAGATGTATGGTAAGTGGTCTGGAATACTCCTTTGAAATGTTACAATCTGTCTTTGTTGTAAGGGATCATTGTAGCTAGGGATCATTGTAGCTAGCCGTCTACTGAGATCCATTCATTATACTGGGTTGAATGATCTTTGTAGAATTAGTTGGCCATCCAAGGGACCAGATCTCAACTGAAGAAGGGAGTCAATCAAGGACCAATAGGAAGTCATTCTCTGGGGTTTTCTGGTCCTCCTTCATACTCAGGTCAGCTTTTTATATCAAAAGCTCTCAAGGTCCAGGTAGAAGCGCAGATGCAATGGCATTTGTGGGCACCAAACGTGGGGACTCGTTCTTGAGAGTGCATGCCCCATCTGAAGGAAGTGCTGCTGCTTGATTCTCTCCCAATAACTGGTGCTATGTAGAAATGGTGATCCGGTGCTGCCAAATCTCTTGATCCTTCCCCCTTCCCAGGAAGAGCCAGCAATGGATATATGAAATCTAATCACTTTTAAAAGCCAGGATTTTTTTTAAAACATGACTCAGTATAGGACAGATGACACATACACACAGGCTTGAGCAGACCTTTGAATTACCTGTTTGCTGCTTTGTTGCCAGCTTATAGTTGACTGGCTGGACAAGACATTAGCCCCCCAGGCTCCTTGCACCAGTCACACCTTTTAGCAGAGGGTTCCTGGCAGGGTGCTCTGATGAACAGTACTCAAGAAGTACCCAAGAAGGCAAGAGTAGTTGACCAGATGGCTCAGAATGCCAAAGGCTGCAGCAGGTACCCATCCTCTCATCTGGGGCCTGTGTGCTGGGTGTGGGCATTTCCCGCTCTTCCTGTACATGCTCCCAGCTGCAGACTATACTTTTTGGCTTCTTCCCTTTGGGGAAGCAGATGGCAGGTGGTTGCTTTTGTATTCTGCTTGTCTAATTGGGCATGTTGAATTGACAGAGTTTGTACTGTATTTGAGTCTAAAGAGATGCAAACAAATAACCAAAATTCACAGAGAACTGGCTCAGCAACCTACCTGAGGTTGTTAACTTACCACGGGAATGATTTATTTCTAAATAATTTGTAAGCTTTTCCATAATAGGGTGTTGTCCCTTTAATACTGTGCCTCCTCTATCAGGAACCGTAGGAGGCTGCTGCTCCAACCAGCACACACTGCTGAGGAGAAAGCAGATGGTACAGCTGCCACCAGCTGTGCCTGCCTCCCCCCACCCCCCAACTGGGATGATGTAATGGAAACAAGGAAATTTTTGCTTTCTGCAGCATTACAATCTCTGGGCCTGTCAGACACACACAGGGGAGAGAGAGAACCCAAACCTTAAGCATTTGTTGTATGCACTCATATCCTTTGTAGCCAGAGAAGTTTCTTTCACGTCGTGAAATGGACCCAGGTTGAAACATATGAGCTGCTTTGGGTAGAAAGTATCAGGGCCTTGAGTTTTCTGTGTGTTTGTATCTTTCCTGGGTGACACTCCTCAGCCTGGCTATTGGCTTTCGGGGTCTTGTCTTCATACCTGAAAATCTAACCTCCCCATTTTAAAAGCAGAGAAAAACACTTGCATTTTTGAGCCTTCTTTGAAGCTTGTTTTATTACTAGTGGTGAAGATGGCTTTGGGCCATTCTACCTTGTACATCTCCCATTTGTTTACTCAGAAATTGTTTTAATCTAAAATACTGGCCAAGTATCAGACATTGTGATTGGGATTACCTGCTGCCCTTTACTTCCCTTGGGGAATCCTGAGGAAGGCATTGTCCCTTCAGGAACCAGAGTTCAGGGATGAAAATATAAGTCAAAGAAACGGTTGACTTTTTCAATTCCAGTTTTGTTTTATTTCCTAAATTATTTTGATTTTACTCCACGAATCCAAAATGTTTTCAATGTTTTTGTTTTCAAAATGCTTAAGAGAAAAAGTATGCTCTGAGGGCCTTGAGAAACTTAAGAAATATAGTTTTTAGGTACAGCCATAGTAGATTTAACCAATTTGCTCATAACTCCATCAAAAAAATAATTCTTTGAGAAAGTAATTGTGTAAGAGCTCTTGTTGATAATTGGGCGCCAGAGGCAGAGGGCTAGGAAAAAGAGCTGTGAGAAGCTTTTGAATTTAAATCATTTACCAACAGTGAACTCGAGCAGTTACATGAACAGTTCCACCCTTGGTCTGCATCTCAGTTCCCCCATGTAATGCAGAGAGGCTAAAGTAGTCTTAGGACTTCTTCATTTTATGATGCTGTGATTTTGTGACTTGTACCTCGGTAAGAGTGATCAGTCTGTTGACGCACACGGTGCTAGCTGTGGGAGCAGCTATGTCTTTGGTGTCCAGGGTAATCAGATTCTGAGAGCTTCCTGAGAGCACATGTTCTTGATGTAAAGACTTTTTATCCTTCAATGAACATTACATTTCCTGTGTTGGTGACCAACCTGTTTTTACTGGAGCAGTCCTTTTGAGCAAGCAGCATTAGGAATTTTAACTGCAGGGGTGTGCACATTGGATTTGGGGTACGGCAGATGAATTTGCTGCAGTGACCCTGAAGCCACCCCCTCCAGGCAGCTACATGTGGAGAAAACATCCCCCTCCATTCCTTGTCTTTGGCCAACATCGGGGAACTTTGCTCTATTGCTCCTTTGGAAGGGAAATCTGATGTTAGCAGGGCTATGGCAGATGGAGACTGCAACTGCCCCAGATGCCTGGGAGCTACCTGTGACCCGCTTATGGCTTTGAGGATGAGAGAGGTTCATCTGGGAACCTCTGCAGTAAGGCCCCAGACATTCGGGGATTGAGTCATGTGAGTAGGGTGGGGCCAGAGCTCCTGTTCCTTGGCTTCTGGCCTGTTCCCCATCTTACCTGGACATAAACCAGATCAGGAGTTGAAGTTTCTTAAGGCCCTCAGAGGATATTTTTTCTCGCAAGCATTTTGAAAACGAAAACATTGAAAACATTTTGGATTCTGTGGAGTAAAATCAAAATAATTTAATGCCTTTAGTGAAGTACCAAGTGTCTTTGACCTGAGGGAGTTATCTGTTATTTCTGAACATTTGTAGAGGGCGTTGTGATGTCACTAATCCTGAGCCTTTGAGGAGCAAGGTCAAGTGCAGCGCTAATTTATTTTGGTAATGAAATTTCCTCCACGGTTGGCAGTAGGGCAAATGCTGTCTTAGAGGGGGAAAATGGAAAGCTCTCTTTATGATGAGGTTTGGATCCTTAGAAGAGATGGCTTAATCTCACTCTGCTACCTGGGTCAGGGGGGTGCTGAGGTTTCACATGGTGGTTTTCCACATGGACAGACTGCTTCTGCCTCGGGCATCTCGGATGTAGGCAGTTGTCCTTAGGGATAATTCCAAGGTGGTGGGAGAGACCTATTCCCTCTTGGGTGCCTGCAAGCTCACTCTCTCTTTCTGTGTTTTCCTTTTTCCTTTCTGATTTTTATGTAGCTGTGTGCCTCTTTTTTCTAGTAGTTGGGAAGGAGATAACAAGCAGGAGGATAAGATGGGAGAGAAGTTCTTGATCAGGAAGCTTGTCTGAAATGGAGTTTCAAAGGAGCAGGCTATAGTTCGAAACAAAACAGTGAGCCATGGGAGCACCTGGATGTGTTTCTGTTGAACTGAAAACCCTAGTCTGGCAGTGTGGCCAGATATCTCCCGCAGTCAAATCAGGGTATGGACAGGAGCTGACATTCACTGACTGCTTGCTTTAGAGAGAAAAAAGTATAGCCCTTAAAATTCTGGACTTTGGCCTGACTCTGTCACTTCTAGATCATCAGACTTTGGGTGAGTTGCTTTACCTTCCTCCTCCTCTTTCATATCCTCAACTGCAAAAGGGATTTCACAGGATTTTTGTAAGAATTAAACAAACTTATTGTGTTCTGGGACCCCTTACATATCCAAACAGTGTCTGGCATAGAGTGAGATCTGTAAGAGCGTGGTTGAACTGAAAACAAAAAGTGTGCTCTGTCTGGAGCTGGGTTAAAGCCTTTACAGAGAATTTCCATCTGATTTTCACAGCAACATTTTGAGGTGAGTATTATGATCCCCACTTTGTAAGTGAGGAGGTCATGATCAGTATGCATGGTATATATATAGCTGGGAGGTTTCAAGTCCAGGTCTGTCTGACTCTGAAACCTGGGCTCCTTCTACTGTGTTTGCATTCCTTCCTTGGTGGAGATCATTACGTGTTAATTCAGCAAACCTGAATTGAGTGCTGCCTGTATTCCAGCGCAGTGCTAGGCGTTGTCAAGGATATAGTAATGAACCAGCCAGACATGGTCCCTGCCCTCATAGAGCCATCACAAGTTCATTTGCAGGAAACAGTGACCTGAGGTCAGGGCAGTATGCCAGAGCTTTCTGGGAAGTTTGAGGGCCCTTTGAAGATGGACATCTTCCACTTAGTCGTTTGAAGCCTGTTCTTGGCCATTGCTGTCCAGGGCACCTGGCCCAAGGCTGGCAGGAAGAGAGCTTCTCAAATAACGCAGTGGGGAGGCTCCTAGATCACAAGACTGCTCTGATAGTGGCCAGGAAGATGTCTGGAAGATTCTGTGCCCTGGGATTCTTCAGGCAGCCTGGGCAGAGCAATTGCTGGACAATGACTTTCTCTTTTTGTGAGCAGATAGCTTCAGGGTCCTTGGATTACGGCAGCTCCACGGGGGCTCCTTTCCTCCTGGGCTGCCAGGCCTTAGACCTGCAGAGCTGAGTGGTGAGGAGAAGAGAAGGTGAGAAGGAAGGTGTCTCTGGGCCAGTTCTCCACCGTTGCTAACCTGAGACCTGCCAGAAGCACAACGGAAGAGAGAAGGGGGCGTTTTATTAAGGTGGTGGCAGAGTAGACAAGGAGCCTTCTGAGTGAGTGCATGCAAGCAGGCAATCACTTAGGCAAACAGACTGAAATCCGTGGCCCCTGGATTCCTCCTGATGTAGACAACTGGTCAAGGAAATATGGGGTCTTTGTAAGATAGTGGACTTTATATTGTATCTTTGAGGCCCAGGAAGGTGGCCTGTGACTGTGGAGGCCCCAGTGGCCCTG